GCTCAGTGTGGCAGACGGGCGGGTCTTGGTTGGTACAATGTGCTGCCCTTGGCCCGCCGGGCACAGCGAAGTCCTGACACAGGCCTTCCTCAGTGCAAAAGGCCCTAGTCAGTCCTCATGGAAGCAGACCAGCCGAATTCCCTTGCATTACAGAAATATTTGGACAAACCTTAATCTAAGGCCTCGCAATAATTATTTTTTCCCCTCTGAATTGGAGAGAGAGCAATCAGCCAGCACTGAAAAATATCACTGGTCTGAAGCAAAAATCAAGAGATTTAACATTGTTGTTTTATCTCTACACATGTATGATTTCTCTCTGTAGTCTCAGAAAATTCTATTTTCCAATTTCCACAGTTCTGTCATGGCAGATGTTGGAGTGGAGTTCCTGCCTAAAAGTTGTAACTGTATGAAGAATGGCCTTTGCCGTCGTTGCTCGTTGTGGAGCCTATAGTTTGAGTACAGCCTACAGAATTCAGACTTTAATTCCCCTCTCTTTGCCATTGTTCCTCTGTGACTTGGCTGCCTTAGAGATGGACTGGGCAAATGGAGAGGGAGAGAGAATGGACAGGAATAAGAGGGGATTTGAGGTGCTTTGAAATGGCCATTGTCCTTAATAAATAGGCTCTTTATTTGAGAGGGGCAGGGCATCTAGTTTGGGTTTGACTTGCATCTTGTTTCACCTCTTGAACGAGACTCAAAAGTACACGGGCAGACACACGTTAGTGGACAAATGCACTGCTTTAACAGATACATGGATTCATTGGTCGATCAGTGCGTTTCTTCCAGAAGAATTCCCTTCTGTGTCTTCTCAGTGCGTCTGCTGTTCAGTGACAGCTGATGAATACCACTGAGACTGCCACTGTTGACTGAAAGGAACCTAAGCCAGATGCAACCTGTTTGCCATTGCTGACAAGAATATGCAAGCCAATCACAACCAGGCTTTTACAAGACTTTTGTTACCTTCATACCTCTGTACCGAACCCCCTCCAGTCAATTTTTCTTCCCTCAGAGTTCCCCCTCTTAAACCGTGTGTGTGGGTAGATTCAAGTTGCTGAGGTTAGGTTAAACAAGCCACCATCAAAGCCATATTACCACTTGGGTCAGAAGAGGGTCAGGGTGCAGCAGGGGGTGTGTGGTTTGAGGCCCTAACTGGAGGGCACGACTGCCAACCAGCCAAATAGTACTGCCCTGGATGGTTACACAAGCAGCAACTCTATTATGTTTTACTCGGCGCACAAAGCACAGCTGTCTGTGCAGCCATACAAATCACTGAGCAGAGCTGCCTGTGCCAAAGGAGAGTAAGTGAAAGAGCTTTTTTCTGCAAGCAAAGTAGGAAAAAAAAAGCACTTTTCTGTCATGAAAGTAAAGAATGGTAGGGTGTTGAGGTGTGCTTAAAGTCCCTAGTGTTGATGGCCATTAATCTGAAAATTGCACATCTTTTATGTATCTGGCAGCTGTGTGTCTGAAAACTCCATAGTGGCCTTTTTGTTCCAGTCTTTTGAACCCCAGGGCATTCTGCGTTCCTCCCCAATATTCCTCCTCCAGCTTAACTGTGATGAGTACAGTAAAGGGTCATTAGTGCTAATCCTCCAAAACAATGAGGAAGGAGAAACAATGTGCTCCCTAGTCCTCTGACTCTGTCCAGGAATAAAGACCTCTTGTCTCTTCTACGGATGTATAGAAGAAGCCTGTTCTGCTTATATCACATTAGATGACATAAATAAATGACTCATTCAAAATGAAGGGTTTATAAAAAAAATGATGTGAAACATAATTCTCACAGAAGGTTCTCAAAGGGCTCTTGAAATTGGTAACATGCATTTTAACTCAGATGTTGGAGGCAAGTAAGACGCAGTGGCACTAACAGGAGAGCTTCAGAAGCCAACTCCATAATGACTTTCAGATTTGAGCATATTTACTCATATTGTTCCTTGTATTTACAGAGTTTGAGCTGCCTCTTCGGCTTGAATACATCCAGCAATGTTTAGAGCTGGATGCACTGGGTACCTTCCCTGCTGTGTACAAAACACTCACAAATGACTGTTTTGAACACACATTGATCTAATACAGTTAATCTTCTACAGTTAATCCTGATGACCAGTAATGAGTACTTAAATCGTCCAACTGGACGATTTAAGTACTCTAGGCTTTCACATCTCGAGCAGATGTAGTTTTAAGCAGATGTAGACATATTAATGGAAAATATTGAATACTTACCTTTAATAGTGCTTTATGCAGTTTATTTGTCTTCCTTTTAGACCAAAAAAAGGTATAAGAAATGTCTGCTAAATATCTTAATTTGGAATTGCGAGTAATGTCACTTTCCTTATTTCCCTCCATGTGAGAGACTTCCTACATGCGCCATAGGTCTTAATACAACCAGCCACCTGTCATCAATCTACCGCTGGGCCACAAACGGCAGCCGCTAATCTCTTTACACTGGTCTTGTCACTAAAAGTCGGGTTACTGGGGATGCCTCATGAATAAATTATACTGGTGTTTCCTTTGATTCGGGGTGACTTTGAGGTGGCCAGTTGTCAAATGATCCAGGGGTACATTTGGCAGACGTTGAGCCGCAAGAAATCCTTCTGCTCATAACTGAACTTCAGATGACCGAGTGAGGAAAGTGGGTCAGGTGAAATTGAGTTAGGACGCGAGGTAGCCCAAAGGACAAGGGGAGGTCTGCGCAGCGTCGTTTTGCATGCGTAACTTCGGCCCACATCCCATTGGTCGTTATGTGTCGGCCTGCCATCTCAGTCGTTTCAGACAGTCTAGCTATTGATACCACTACAGCTAACCACATCAGCACCACAAGGTTTGTATCAGATTTCACAATGAGCCTTCTTGTCTGTAGTCTTACTTCTCCGAGTCGCATGAAGAGGCTATTGCTGGGAACCATTGGCATGTCAAATTGAATTTGCACTGGGTGCTAACATTACACTAGTTGGCTGACTGGTTTGCAGATGATTTCAGGTCATCCACAGCTTGACAGAAATAGAGGCTTGAGTTTTGTTCTAGATTTGGGCTGCATCTTTTTGTTTCTGGGAAGCTTTCCCATTTATGTAGGAGGAGTTGGACCCTCGCAGCAGGCAAATGTGTTTTTGTGGGAGAGAACCTTGTGCGTGAGTGTCTTATGAGTTCCTGCATGTCACCATGTGTTTGTACAGTAGTTTGTGTTGTGTGTGTAATTCACTGTGGTTCTGTGCACTCTGCCACCCTGCGCTGGAGGGGTGTTTGTCCAAACGGCGCCAATGTTTGCACAGGGCTGTCACGATGACTGGGCTGGCTGGCCCGGACACTGCTCGTCTGAAACGCAGGACAGACCAAAGTGCTCTTAAAGCTCCGTCTGAAGCCCTGTTTATCACAGGCAGCATCAGGCCGGTGGAAAAAAACAGATAAACATGACTTACCTATAAACTCGTTTGATGTGTTGGTAAGAGTAGACAATTTGTAGGTGTAGTATGTTGTGTAGGGCCATCTGTTTGGCACATCCATGAGGAGCAAGTGTTTGCAGATGTAGGCCTTTTCTGGATATGCGCTTTCTGTGCGTTTGTGAAAGGACTAAAGCCACATGTCAAATAAATGTGCGTTTCACCCTTTAAAATGTTGATACACTTATCCAGAGTGCCTTCCATTATGAGTCAGACACCATACATGATCACTTATTTTAGGTTTTCTGCTCTTTGGCAATCTGGAGCGGCCCTTTGTAGAAATGAGGGTGGAGGCGCTCAGTGGAGTTTGACACGGCTCAGGTGTCATAGACCTCCCGTTTGTTTTCAGGCCATTAACTCAGGGAAGCGAGCAGTATGAAGTGAAGTGTGGACTGCTGTCCATAAGGCAATGATGGAGTGCTTATTGCTACGGCGTCATGGTTCATCTCACAGCCACAAGTCAATCTTTCACATACATTATTGTTACTGAAAATTACAGTCAATCTCATAATGGTACATTGGATTTATTGATCAACGGTTGAAATTTATTTAAATAAGTGTGTCTTTAAACGATGGCATAATATCTACCTACGAGCTTAGGCTTAGCGCTAGTATACATTTTACGCTGGTCCGTGGCATTTAAGCAAAGGATATGCAGACTTTTTTTATGACCAACCATGCCGTTATAAGTGAGTAGGAGGCTGCAAAGTGCTACGATGACTCGGTGGTAATCTGTAATTGGCGACATTGGGGTTAATGTAGCGGAACCCTCTCTCCGCCTCCCGTGCCCCCCTAACCCCCTCCGCCCTAGTGTGGTCCCATCCTCCCCACTGGCCCTCTGTCACGCTTGACTCACCAGGGGGTGACTTTTGAGTGACGGGTGGAAAGTGGACCGTGATTGGCCGGCACAGGAGACTGGCCGTGGGTGTTTGAGCGCGGGCAGCCAATGGCATGGTCTCGGCACAGTTAACGCAGCAACAGCTCCCCAGTAGAGATAGAGTTTCTGTGTGTGTGTGTGTGTGTGTGTGTGTGTTATCTGACACAGAAGGAGAGAGTGAAAAAAACACAAGAAAACTTGGATAAGAAAAGGCCAAACAGAATGAGACTTATTGGATTCTCTGAGGTGAGATCTGTTTCTAGAGCTTCGCTTGCGGTTTCTGTGATCAAGTTGTTTTTTTTCAGTTAAGATCAGTGGAGTTGATGTTGAGGGGTTTTGTTTACAGGGCAGAGTATTGAAGGGGTTTAAGTCAGCATGCAACTTTAGTTGGAACTGTTTGGTAAGTTTTCCTTGGTGGACCATCAAGGGCTTAAGCACGGAAGAATCTTTTTTGGCTTCTCTGTTTATGGATAAACTGTTTCCGTACGATTTGTGAGCAGATGCACACAGTGTCTCTGAAGTAAATATGCTTAAATGGTCCTAGAATGGTTCTAGGCTTTTCACTGACTGTCTCTCTTAGAATTGAATGCAGTTTTCTATTCTACGACTTTCAAATTCCCCCCTTTATTTCTCTTTTTTTTCCCCTTGTTGTAATGTCTCCATGTGTTTTTCTCCTCTCTCTCTCTCCATAGTCGACCACGGCTGCGAGAGCTGCCCGAGTGTAAGTGAGTGGCCTGGCTGGACCTCTTCTCCCTCCCTTCATTTCTCCATTAATCCTCCTCCCCTCTACCCACCCGGTCTCTTGTTGTTTCGGGAACCATGCTGATGCAGTGGCTGGCTTGGTTGGCTCTGCTGTCTCTGGACTGGGCTCCAGGCAGCTGGGCCTTCACCACCACCAGGGCTCAGGGCCTGAGGGGTCGCATCCAGAGAGACCGCAGAAACATCCGGCCCAACATTATCCTCATCATAACTGACGACCAGGATGTTGAGTTGGGTAAGGTTGGCACACTTTCTGGTCTTCCTTGAATTCTATAGGCCCTATTCACTTTTCATGGATTTTGTCACTATTATTGCCCTACTTAAAAAAAGAAAAGAAATGTTGTTTCCGGGATTTTTTTTCACACTGCCTTAATCAATTTCTTTGTCCTCAAGTACATTTGCATCAGGATGTATGTGGTCTTTCTTCACACATGAAATATTAAATAGAGGCCATAAGCCAGAGCAGAATGGCCATCTGGCCTATTAACTGCTGAATAATAATTATTTGCCACTCAAGAGAATTCAGTTAGAAAAGATCAGGAGATCTAACTGGACTGGACTTTGTTATATACACAAGTGATTGTCATTTTGCAAAAATAATATTTGTCGTTGTGTGTATTGTCACAAGCATTTTTTTCCCTTAATATTAACAATGCATGTAACACAATTAAGACTTCAGTGAATCCGTACTGACCTCCATACTTTCTCCTCCAGGTTCTCTGCAGGTAATGAATAAAACCCGTAAGCTCATGGAAGATGGAGGCACAACTTTCACCAATGCCTTTGTCTCCACACCCATGTGCTGCCCGTCACGGTCCTCCATGTTGACGGGCAAGTACGTCCACAACCACAACACTTACACCAACAATGAGAACTGCTCCTCCCCTTCCTGGCAAGCTCAGCACGAGCCACGTTCATTCGCCGTCTACCTCAACAACACCGGCTACAGGACAGGTTGGTGAAACAAGGACATGCACTTGCATATTTTAACCCTTTTATACACAATGATCACCATTAAGGGCCTGTTGTATGTCCACCAAAGACCTCCTAATGCAGCAGTGCTGGTGATGTTTTCCCATTACTTATTTTGGAAAAGCACCATTTCTCAGATTCTGATTGGGAACCGTGACCATCTCACTTTTTTTTGCCAATATACTGTCAATCACCACCAGCTCATAGGTCCTCTTAGGCTCTCTTTATTCAACGTGTTTGTCAATGAACATTTTTTACCGTCAGCTAGACTCCACCGCTCTGCCTGGCTGTCTGCTGTGAGAAATGCAAACAAGGTGAGCGTGCCAGGTCGCTGTCGTCTCTCACCAGACAGTGTCTGTGTGAGTGATGGGCAGGCGTTGGACGTTTGGACTGGGCAGCTCAGTGGGGTCCTGTGGGCCTGCAGCACGTCCTGTGGTTTTAGAGCTGATGCGTTAGTCTGCAATTAGCCTTCTCGAGGACAGGCTGGCTCCCTGCCCAGCCTGTCCGAGAATGCTGTTCAGTGAAGCCAGCAAAAAGGAGACGAGCAAAAAACGTTATGACACACACACACACACACACACACACACACACACACACACACACACAGTCACACAGAGACAAGGAATTTTCACAGGTACAGGTGTAAGCCAGCAATGAAAACATTATTTATGGCCTAAATTTTTGTATTTCAAGAAACCTTCCTTTGTCTCTCTGCAGGCTTCTTCGGCAAATACCTTAATGAGTACAATGGCACCTACATCCCACCTGGGTGGCGCGAATGGGTTGGATTGATCAAAAATTCCCGCTTCTATAATTACACTGTCTGTCGGAATGGTTACAAGGAGAAACATGGTGCCGATTATGCAAAGGTAGGTGTTCCTATAATTTCGAAAAAAGGGGACCGTTAACTCATTTATTTTTCCTTTATGGCCTGATATAAAGACTTGACAAATTACAGGTTCCACTCCACTTATAAATACAGACAGTGAAGCACTTCACTTATCAGTGTTATGATCTAGGCTGGCAGGAATTTTCATTCAAGAATTAAAGGGAATGACTTGAGCTGGAGTCTCCTCTTTCTGCAGCATCCCTTTATTATGACATACCTTACCTTAACATTTAGACAGCATTTTTATGAGAAGCCTGTGATAAATGCCACCCTGCATTTGTTTTTGTCCCACTTTCTGTCTGTTCTATTTGGTCTCACTCTGAAGTTTTACAGAATGATTTTGTACTATAATGCCACAATAAAACTTCATTTTACAGATGTGTAACTCTGGAAATGAACACTGTGGTTACAATGTCTTTTTGTAGCTCTGGATGGCATCGGCCATCAATCATCCCCAAATGTTTTTGTAAGAGCTGTCAGTTTGTTTTCGCAGCTCCATGCCAATATCTTCCCAGGTAGCGTAGTCCTGGGTATATGAAGAATCCATGAGGAGGGTTTACAGTTTGGACATATGTCAAGTTTCAAGATGGCCTACCCAAAAGATGGGCAAGCAAATGTTTGGACTGCTATTCCTCTGCCAAGTTGGACTGAGGTGTAAAGTTACCCACAAGCTGAGGCCAAGGTGTTTACATGACATGGGCTTGGTAAGCAGTTTGTGGTTTAGAACCAAATGGACACACTATTTGCTATTTACTGACAAAAACCATGAACCTGCTACTACTGGGACAACCACAGGTCCTGTTTTTAGATTCACACGGGGTCAGAAGGTTGTGATATTCCAAACAGTCATTGTGATTAAATGAGGCACTTGCCCAGTGATTTCATTCAATGAGGTCCCATTTGATTTTAGGAGGATGAGCCCATTGAGGTTGAGGCCTTTGTCAAAGACCTGCATGAGATTTAGTTGAAGAATATGATCCATGCAATATGTTTCTTCAAATTGCATGACAGAAGACAACAGTCATTATGACACAAAGCAATGCAAATTCAAGCCAGCTGTGATATGTTGGTGTCAACGGTGCTTGAAAGCTTGTAAATAATAACTCTTCGTGAACAAGTCTCATGACTTCAAAGCCTCAACTCCCTACTGCATTGACGGTCAAACCATCTTGGCTGTTATACAACCTAAAATGTCAGAGTATCAATTTTAATGGGTGAATGTCGTTGGGGAAATTAAACCATGTGTGAATGGGTTTGTATTATGTGACACTTGGTACTAATCATCTCCAAAAGGTTCTGGGAAAAGTGATACTCTTCACCTTCCTGACCACTTTGGAGCTGTTGGCCGGTCATTGCCCATGACACGTTTGCTTCCTTCTGACCTGCCAGAGCCTTTAGCAGCGGTGGCTCAGATTATGGGGAGCTGGCAACACATAGAAAACAAGGATGGCGATGCTTCACCATATGCACGCAATCACAAACCTCCATGGGCATGTGCAGCCACCAGGCCATTGAAGCTGGCCCGGCTATAAAGCCTATTAATAGAGACAGGATGAATCAGCCAAACCCACTTCTGACATTTCAGGAAAATCACGCTTTCATTCCGAACCCGGCACTCCCTTCCGCATGTGTTATGCCAGACAAGAACTGTGGCAAGCCAAAACTGCAGGTAGAATGGTTAATCTGTTGGAAACTTGGCAAATGATATTGTGATTTTTGTTCAGGGTGTGACCTCCTGTACATTAAAAAAACAGACTCCAGCGTCTTTTATTCAGCCTGGAATAAAGGTTTTGAGATGTCCGGCCTGTGGGTGGTTTGATGTGACAATATCACAAGTCTAAGCTCTTTATAGTAAGCTACAGTTTAAGTCACTCATTTGTCCACCCTGCCAAATAGATCTGAAAAACGGAGCATTCGGGGACTTTGTGTCCTTCCCATCTCCTGGGTACAAGTCGCTTCTCACTCAAGCTCATTTCCCTGGTAGAGTTTGAGGCTTATAACTGTCGAGGCTATTGTGTCTTATTTGTGTAGTTCCATTATCTCCCAGAGTGAATCCGTGACAAGAAGCAAGAAAACACATGTTGAGTAAAAGGGAGTCAAACGAAGCTGAATAGGAGAGGAGGAAGTTGAAGGAGAAAGGGAATGGATTGCCCAGAGAGGATTAGAGGATGGGAGCTGTCATAACAACATACCATTTGAGAGCACCAGGCTCCTCTCACCATCAAGTGGTGTCACATTCAATAGTGCGGAGATTCACTGAGGCAACAGCCCATATACTGTATACACATGCATAGACTCAAGCACACACTCACACAGGCAAGCTGCCAGCTGTTGACTCGACAAATTGGTAGTGTATTCAATGGCCCCAGTTCATATGCTCAGTGGCCCTTGTCCATTTATTTGAAAATGACTGGATGAGGGAAAGCAGCATGTCGTGGTGATTGGACTGCGAACGAGTTTTATCAAAGCCCATGTTGTTTTGCATTCCCCCCCCCCCCCCCCATTCCACCTTCTCTGTAGCCTTCTTCTCTAGATGTGATTTTTAGCCCTGCAGCGCCTAATAAATCCTGTTTATTCTCTCTTTTCCAGGACTATTTCACAGATCTGATCACCAACGACAGCACTAACTTTTTCCGCATGTCTAAGCGCATGTACCCTCACCGCCCTGTGATGATGGTCATCAGTCACGCTGCTCCTCATGGCCCAGAGGACTCGGCTCCACAGTATGCCGAGCACTTCCCAAATGCTTCGCAGCACATGTAAGTTACATTCAGACTCACTTTATCACACGTGCACTCATCATGGTTCCTACATAGCTGCTGCTTTATGGATTTCTTTTTTTTTCTCGTTAACCTTCAATTTGAGTTTTCATGATTTGGTCTGTATAACATTACAGTATTCATGCGCCTCAATCACCAGTGATGACAGGTTTCTTAGAAGCTGCTTGGAGCGACGACTTGGCAAGCGTGAAATCAAAATGATTTATCATCCGAGAATAGCCGGGGCACATACCATGAAGAAGATCACGGATGGCTTTTTTTAATGGAGCACAGCGCGCATGCCAAGCCCACGTTGGCCTCCAACAACTCTCATTACTGAGTTGAGGCAGCGTTGCAGCACTGTGGGTCTTTCCATGGCAACATGCCCTGCCATCTCTTGGTGGGCCCTCCAAAAAGGCTCCCAGGATGTCCTACTCCACTGGGTGGGGGGGAGGTTGTTGTTGTAGAGAAGTAGATATAAGTTTCAAGACTGCCATTTCTGCTCAATATTCCTTTTTTTCTGTTTACCAGCACTTTCAGTGTTCCCCACTTCCTCCCTCTCACTTTCAAACCCACTTAACATTCTCCTCTGTCTGTTTGCTCTACCTCTCAGTCGCTCTATCTGTTATATCTCTGTGTCTGTCCGTCTCTCTGTCTCTGTCTCTGTCTTCTGTCGTTTTCTCATCCCTTGCCGCTCTCCCCCCAGCCCTCCCTCTCCTCCTGTGAAATTCGCAAAGCACTTCCTGATCCTGTCCATATCAATCAGTACTTTCTCCCCGCGGGCTCTTGGGATGAGAGGAATGCATTGTGTGCTTGGAAGAACACCCTTTGTGACATTAATAATTTATTTTTAGCTCAAGCCTCTGGGTGAAGGGGGTGGACCTGGGGCCCGGAGGTGACTAAAGGGGTTGCCCCAGTGATTGTGCGCCTGAATATGTGGTGAGGTTACTGTGGCAGCAAACAGTCGGTATGTTTTGGTGTTTGTTGACTACATACTTGCATAACAGATATGGAAAAACTTTTTACTGGCAGAAGTTGTGGAGCAAAGTTCTTTGATATATATGATTATGTTTTGAAGTTGTTTGAGTTTGAATTGGTTCAATGGGCTTTGGTAATTCTCTACAAAAGCCATTAAGTCCTTGGTAAGGTCAACCACCAATGGAAATGTGTCTGGTCTGCCACTTTCTGTCTTTGCAGCAGATGTCGTATACCTCTAACCCTTAATCCATAGAGTTGGGAAGAGACTGCGTGGCAGTAAAGAAGGAGCTGCTTCATAAATCAAATGAGCGTCTGTACTTTTGACAGCAACAATAGCAGGGGAGGGTTTGATGTTAATGTCATTAACATTCCTCACTGAAGGTGTTTTTTTACCCCGTCTCTTAGATATCAGCCAAGCTCCTGACTTATTTTAAACACTATAGATGTAATGCGGTCCCTCAATGGCATGCCTTCTTTATAGCAGGGAACGTATTGAAGTTATTCTGGTTGTAGCTAGTTGTTTACGGGAATGTCACTAATCCTCATGCGGGATGTGTCTGTTGGGTTCTGTAAGGTCAGGAGGCATTCTGGGGTGAACAGCGGGCCCTTGGGCTGCTGTAATCCAGGGCTAATACAACAAAACACCGACGTACGTATAGGTGACAGGTGGCAGGTGTGACCTCCCCTATGGACTGGCTTCGTTCCATTGACCTCTGCATTCCTGGTTCCCTTGTGCCCAGGGCCCCATACCTTGGTGGCCCATTGCCCAGAGACAGGGCCCTTTGTGGGGCTTATTAGACCGCCTGGCTAGGTGGGTGAAGAGTTCACCCTTCCCACAAAGCAGGCCTGAGGAGACGAGGGCAGAAGGCAGCTCACTCAATCAGAGCAAAGCAGCTCCCAGCAGGTCTTCATTAAGTATCTCAGTCTTGATACTTGTCCAGCTGCTTATTCAGTGGTAGAACCTGTTCGTTTGTAGTTTAATTTTGGAGTGAATTTCGACAGTAATTAATTGTTGTCACATTATATGCCAACACTACTGACGACAAATATGACTATGAATTCTGGGGATAACTATTATGCTTGCAGTATGTTATTCATATACTATTTTGCTTTGAACTGCAGAAACCTTGCAGGCAGAAAGTCAACTTCATACATTGGTCTACCATTTATCTCTCCTTTACTCTACAGCTAAGACAGGTGAACAGCTTCTCTCAGTTCTAACTCTCCACAAACACTGCCTCTCCCTCCCTCTTGCTCTTTATCCACGCTTGTTATTCCCCATTTCAAATGACCATGTCTTATTGAGTTTTTGGTCCAGAAGTTGTTGCAAACTTGACTTTGGGGCCTATTATTTTCTCAAGCAAGTGCCAACCCTCAAATGACTTGTCTGTGCCAAGAGCGCAGTGGAGCGGGGAGACTCTCGTCTCTGTGTGAGGGGAGAGATGGTCGGAGAGAGGTGTGGAAAAACAGCTAAGGCGCTGGCTGCTCAGCATTAAGACATTTCCTTCAACAAACAGAGGCGCTATTGATGCGTGTCAAACACACTGGACAATTGCGGCACCTGCTACCGAGCAGTAGTTTGTGAAAAGTACCAGACAGGTGTTTCTTGGCATCTTAAATGGAGTCCTCATCGATGTTGCGTGCTCTGATAACTCACCATGACTATTTTCTTACTTCTATGAGACTTCATCGGGTACACAGTGTACATGCATGTTCTCAATCCCAAATGCCTCACATCTCCCTCCTTTGTGTGTCCTCCTACTAGCACCCCCAGCTACAACTATGCCCCAAATATGGACAAACACTGGATCATGCAGTACACAGGCCCCATGAGACCCATCCACATGGAGTTCACCAACTTCCTTCATCGGAAGAGGCTGCAGACACTCATGTCTGTCGATGACTCAGTGCAGAAGGTAAGTGTAGTTATTGATGGACTTTTTATTTTTAGGATTTTCCTATTTCTGCCTCTGAGGCATTTTCTCTAAATGCCTGTGTATCTTCTTATCGTCATTCACTTTACTCCTTAGGTGTTTGACATGCTGGAGGAAACTGGAGAGCTGGACAACACTTACATCATCTATACAGCAGACCATGGCTACCACATTGGTCAGTTTGGATTAATCAAGGGCAAGTCGATGCCTTATGACTTTGACATCCGCGTGCCGTTCTTTCTGAGAGGACCCAACATAGAGTCGGGGGCCGTGTAAGTCCAACTAAAATCATTATCAGAGTTTCTTAGCTTGCAAATTACATTGTCTCAGAAATGAACTGTGCTGGGTGTATCTTTTTATTCCTCAGTGTTTGTTCGGGTTCCTTGGTTTTGTTATCTATCATCACTGTATCTATTTCAGAAGATTAACTAAACTTTATGTGCATGTACTTCTTCAGAAACCCTCATCTGGTGCTGAACATTGACCTAGCCCCCACCATTCTCCACATTGCTGGGCTGGACACCCCTCCAGACATGGATGGAAAGTCCATCCTTAAGCTGTTGGAACAGGAAAAGACTGGCAATAGGTCTGTATGGATCCATCATGCCATGCTGTAATAGATGTACAGTAATTGCATGGTGTGCATGACATGTGCAACAGTCCTATTCGTTTGCCATTATTGAGAAAATGCAAATTTCCATAGCAAAAATAATTGCTTTTGCTCCAGCTGAGCTCAAAGTGGGTTCGGGGGCAATTTGGTGGATTTTCCTTGGCTGCAGGACTTTGGCTCGGATTTACTGAGGTTATTGTTCTGAGTAGAATTTGTTTGCAAGTTGAATCATTTGTTTCCCAGCAAAACCGTACAAACAGTGTCCAATATGAATAAAGCATAAAAAAGGCACAAATATGCTATTAATATATCTGCACTGTTGAAGAAAAAATATAGACATAAACATTTCCAGGGCCACATAATCACGTTAATGTTCAAATAGCATTTAGACTGTTCCCTTGAACCCACAAGGTCTTGAGCTCACTATGATCAATCATAATATTGGCTTGCTGCATGCCTGACATACTGCAACTGATGGTGAGTGCAAAGGCCATATGAATTTTATAAACTTTGTGCGCTTTGTTTTCCCAGATTCAAACCCAACCGGAAACCCAAAGTCTGGAGGGACACATTCCTGGTGGAGCGAGGGTAAACTGGGGTTCTTTATTCCCTTTCCACACCACAGGCACATCCATGTCATTGCAGAGCATTGTGTGTCACACACAACCTGACCAAACATTTCAATGAACCCGAAATGTGCAAAAGGCTCAACGACGTTCCCTAGTCCAGCAACACAGCCATTTTCCCCCAGTTAGTTGTCTTCTGACAGACATTTCCTGACCACAGTCGGCTTGGAAGGCAGTGGCATTGGATGAGGTTGAAATATTCAAAGTTGTTTGGTAAAGCTATAAGCGGCTGGCAAATTATGACAGTTCACGCAAGAGGCACCGACACATGTGTAACCAGGTCATTTGAGTCTGTCTTTTAAAAGGGACCTTGCATGTTTTAAGCACATGACCGGGGGCCCTAAATCTGACTTAGCCTGCTGTTGGTGCACTGGCAGAGACGGACGGAAGATAGCTAGGCACACGCAAAATAAACAAAGACTAGCCAGGCTCAGGATGATGTTACCTGAGGAATGGCTGGAAGGCTCACACTCAATCCACTCACAGGACATGTCACCAGCTCCCCACGGTGAGGAATGCAGCAGCCACGCTATAGCCAATGCTCGACTGTTTTCTTTGTAGCGGACGCAATTGTTTAGAGCACACACTCTCTCGCAAACCCTGTCAGTTCTTTATTTAACCTCGCCTCTGCTGCCCGATATGTGCTGCAGAAACTTTTACCTCCAATCTGACAGCCCGCTTTTGTTCACTTAACATGTTAAGCTGTGGTAATGCCAAGGGTTCACTGACAGACACCTGACAGCTTGGAAAGAAAGAATCTCATCAAGACTTTGCATGATACAGGTGCCCAAGATGAAAAGGTTCCAATTAAATAAACGAGAGCGGAAAGACATGGGTAGGAAAACCAGTGGGAGAGAACAGTAACACTGGTTTTACTGGCGGCATGTGTAATGATACTGTATATTACGGCATGTCACGTTCTCCCATACAGCTGCTGTTTTTCCCCCACAATCATTTCCTCACAATTCCTTTTTTCCCCCCCAAAACCCTGTCATCTCCTTTCCACTAATTTGCTCATTTGCCAACATCTGCAGACACGCATCCAAGAGTACAAAAGAAGCACTCGTTAGCTGTGCCGCTGTGCATACAGATCAATCTCCTGCTGGCGCATGTTTTTGTGACAGAAGAACTAGTTGTTCTATGGACCGCTGTGTATGAAATGAAAAGAGTGTCACCTTTGACATGTGGGGGCTTTAGCTCTTTTAATCCATTCCTCCATTAATCCACACTGTTTATAAAGGCTGCCAGCTTGTGCGCCTTGTCTCTAAATACTGAGATTAGCCTCCACGGACCTTTCGCTCTGTTACTCAAGCACTGATGTAGCAGCACACACACACACACACGGAGTAGCTAATGTTTCTGGTACAGTTCTCTCACTGCTCGATGATTTAATATCCTCGCATGACCTTACAGTACCGTTCCTCCGAACCGGGGAATTGCAGACAGACAGCAAGGGCTGACTTTGTTGTTTGAGAATCTAATAATCTGCATAATGCAGCCTTCGGGGAGTGACATCGACAACAACTGTTAGCTCTTTAATCACCCTTGGCTGAAAGGGGTTGAGACTACAGCCAAGCCAGTGTGTGAACGTTGGCTGTTTTCCCCCTGGAACAGAGCGCTAGACAGGATTGTACAAGACAACGGCCCTAGTCTTGCAGGGCACAGGTTGTTCTGTGCGTCGATGTCGCCGTCATTCTGTCTGTGGGTCGCAGGGTATAGCCAGGCCATGTTGGCAGATAGTTGGGGGGGTTAGGGGAGGTTGGCATGGCCTCAGCAGAGACTCAGCCAGGCCTTGTGGTAGTAGCAGAGGAGAAAGGGGGGGGCAGTGCAGTTGAACGGTCGAACAGCTTGGCCTGGAGCTGAGCACTGGTGTGAGGCTGAGCTGCGCTACATGCCCAGACCCTCTGGCACACAAAGATGCTTCATAACGTGTCCATTCAGTGGCCGTGACCATGAGAAGCACACAGTGACAGAAAGTAACACAACAGGAAACAGTGACTTAAACCTTCAGCTCAGTTCAGTAATACTTTCATAATTTAATAGTATATTGACTCGCTGAATAAGTATGTCTGTTGATGCTGATGCAGTTGTGTTTACTTGGTGTGTTGTGCAGAAAGATCCTGAGGAAGAAGGAAGACTCAGTGACCACTCAGCACACCAACAGCCTGCCCAAGTACAAGAAGGTCAAAGAGACTTGCCAGCAGGCCGAATTCCAGACACCCTGCGAACAGCCTGGACAGGTAAAACAAACACACCCATGTGCAAATGAAATGAGCCCCTGATACCCACCAAGGAAAGTTCTTTTCTGTAACTGTAATGAGTACCACTCTTGCTGTGGCCTCCAAGTAGCCTGTTGAGCTCTTCCACAGAGCCAAAAAGTGAAATAGCCATTTAAAGTGCATCAGTTGGTTGATAATTGGATCCTTTTGCACAGTTTTGTTAATGTGTTGGTACTTTCCCCTTTCATCTGTGCCCATTAAACAGCCAAGTGGTACAGTATGTGGCCTTGGAGCACACAGACCAGAACAATACAAATTGTTACAAGTTTTAAGTTAAGCGTTAAATGACAGGCAGGGTTTCTGAGGGGCTGACTAATGCAGTCCAGATCCAGTTTATGGTCACATAAATGTGTGCATGAAGCAATCGGTTATTAAAGACAGCGATGGAGCAATTCCAGCGGAGCTCAGCAGTGTGTTGTGCGATTGCTTGTGAATACAGTTACATGTATGTGTGTCTGCACCTGTAATAGTGCACACAGCATTTGTCTTCTTGCAGAAGTAACCATTTACAGTGTACGTCATAATATGTTGCTGCATAGCATGCAGGATACGGTTTGGTCCTAAGTGGGCCGTCTGGCATGATTTAACATGACCTCCCAGTGAGCGGCCTGAAAGCCTGCGGTGTTTGTCTTACAAAATTACAGGGGAGATGTTACTCACAAACAGCCGGCAAGTGCTTAATCGCTCGTCTTCATTTTGTTCTTATCTCTTTTTTCCAGCTGGTGTTCTGCATTTTACAGTTTATCTCCCTGTTGCAGTTTAAAAAGTCAAACTGGAGCATTGGGGTCTTCAACAAGGACATTAAACCTCTTAAACCCCATTTAGGTTAGAATGAGAGAAGTTTTTTTTTTTTTTTTTTTTTTGAAGTCTTGGAAGTTGCTGCCTTTTGAATATAACAGCATGAACTCTTTTTTTTTTCGCAGAGCCTCTGTAGCATTTCCTTTAGAATTATTTAAGTTATAACGGTATAGGTTTGTTATGGGCACACCAAATTTACTCACGAGGGACGGAGACAAATCTCTGTTACTGTATAGTTTTGGGGGTGCATACTTTGGGTCTTCCACTATCTGCTCATGTTTCAGCTTGCACGGTCAACCATGTCTGGTCCTAACTAACCACTCCCCATCCTCCGCGTTTCTCATCCATCTTTGCTGTTCTCTCTCTCGCTCTTTGTCTAATGCTGATATAACAGCTCTGTTTAGCCCGCAAGCTATTCGTCACCATGAGAGCCTTCCAGAAGTAACCTGAGCTGCCTCATGGCCCTTTGTTTGGCCCTTCGTTCCCACACTCACCACCGATCATCAGCCCTGCGCTCTACAGATGTCTCATCCATTTATACAAGACCTCACCAGCGACACTACTCAGTCACAGCTTTCTTTTCCGAGTGGGAATACATGTTGGGGAGGACAGAAGATGTAGGCAAGTGCGTGGACATGTATTTATACAATTACGCTGGTGACGCACTTGGCACAGACGTACCCCGTGTGAGAGTGATAGGGGTTTCCTCTTTATTTTCTAGACACCAGACAGCCACAATTCATCTCACGCGGTCGTTTTGGTTTATCTTTCCTGTTGCTTTTGGATGCCATTCTTTCCCACAGTCTGTGATTTTCCTGATATATCTCACAGAAGTATGTGTTCCTCGAGGAGTTTCTGAGATTGAGACAGAGGCTTTTGTCTGAGATTGAGCTTTTCACTTATTATTGGCTCTGCGTGACAATCTGCTCATTGTCAAAGAAACATGGACATTTCCAAAAGGGATACAGCTCAAGGACACTTCAAATTTACACAAAGAAATGAAGTTAGCAGAGAGACTATTGTTTCTCCCTGTTTATTTCTGCTGTGGTTGTCGTTGTGCAGAAATGGCATTGTGTGGAGGAGATCACAGGGAAATGGAGGATACAGAAGTGCAAAGGCGGTTCCAAAGAAGGCTCCAGGAAGAGGGCCCGCAGCCTGAAGCCCCGCAGCAGTTATGACAACAGAGAAAGGGGCTGTGACTGTGGGGAAACGCTCCTCAACCCCTCCAGATCGGACCGCCGTTCCCACCGCCAGTTATCTGGCGCATCAGGCCATCGTGAGTATACGTGAATCTTTTTTTTTTTTTTTTTTTTTACTTATAACATTGTATGATGTCTGTCTATCGAAAGGAAATCTGCATCGGCTCAAGCCTTGACCTCCTACTACTAATTATTTACGCTCTTAAGGGGAGACATGTGTGCGGAAAAAGCAAACATCCTGCAACAAGTCCTGCAATTTGTTCTGTGGATGTTGCCTTGAGTGTGTGCGGGGTTGGGATTGTGGTTTTGAATGGTTTGATGACCTCTAGTGTTGCTTAGAAAAGGTGCAACTGATGTGTGAACACTGAGAAGCTTTTAAGATATAAGATGAGTTGAACATTGGGGGTTTGATACATCGGGAACACTGAAATAAGGAGTTAATGACTGAAATTGGTACATAAAAGCATTGCTTGACTCAAGTTTTTTTTTTTTTTTTTATCATTTTTGTAGGTTTTCGTCCTCGTTTTGTCCACACCCGGCAGACCAGGTCCCTGTCTGTGGAGTTCGAAGGTCAGATATATGACATCGATCTTCAAGCAGATGATCAGTCTGCAGTCCGCCGCCGTGTCATCTCAAAGCGCCACTACAACCCAGAAGACCCCGAGTTTCACTTGGGGTCAGATGACCGTTCAGAGGAAATGCTGGCGGATGATACCAATGCTGTGGGATACCCAAACTCTGTGAAAGTCACCCACAAGTAAGAAGGCAGCTTCCCTTCAGTATCTCAGCGATGACTTCACATGCAGATACACTGTATGTCTTTCAAAAGAGCAGCGTGTGACAGGTTCCTCTGCATCTGTTCCAGGTGTTATATCTTGATGAATGACAGTGTTCATTGTGAAAGAGAAATCTACCAGTCCTCTAGAGCCTGGAAAGACCACAAGAGCTATGTGGACCAGGAGGTGAGTGTACGAAGCTCAGAATCTCAGACTATACGCCTGACACACACACACACACACACACACACCTTCTCCAGGTTACTAATGTTGTCAGTGGTCAAGGATTTGTCTTAATAGTTGAATATAATTGATAGTATTTGTTGCATATTTAATTCCAGATTGAAGCACTTCAAGACAAAATCAAAAACCTCCGTGAAGTAAGAGGCCACCTGAAGAGGACGCGGCCAGATGAGTGCGACTGTGGGAAGAAGAGGTTCGTCATTTACATTTTTACCTCAAAAATACGTTTCTCTCTTTCATGTTATTTCCAAACAGAATGCAAGTTATCGTGACTTGTTTGAGGCCTGATGCAAACCCCTGTTGGAGTCCTTAGTCTCTGTTTCTGTTTATAAAAAAACAGCTATTTTAGCAAAGGAGACAGAAACAAGGCAGAGAGATTGAAGAGCAGGAATGGTCAACTCCATCCGTTTAAGTGAGTTTCCCCTTTAATTATGGGTTTGCCGCATTTAGATTCACCCCTTTCCTTGTTAATGAATACTGACCATGATTTGCATCCGATCAAGTGTGAAAAGTTTGTATGTTATGATGCCTAACTGTACATTCTTGCTGAATGTCTGCATGGTCACTGCATGTCAGCTAAACCTTAAAGCTCACATTCATTGAGATGACTTTGTAGATCACCAGCCCAGCATGTGTGTGTTTTAGATGTGTACTGTTGATGTTTGTCTAGAAATGTTCTTTGTTTGGTCACTGAATGGAGTTTAAATGACAATGCAGATGCATGGCCAGGGAGTGAGTGAGTGAGTGTGTGTGTGTGTGTGGGTCTGGAAGTGATTTGAGTGTATGGAAATACAGTGACTCAGAATGACTCAACAGAGGGGGGGGAAATCAGTCAATCCCTCAAACACGGTGATCAACTTGCACCAGGAAACATTGGAAACAGATTCTGCCGATACAAAGCAGCTGTTTTCTCGCTGTGCCTGTTCTGTGTTCAGGCCGGGAGGAAGAGGGGACAGTGGCTAGAATGTCATGCCAGAGAAAATTGGACCTAGTAAGAGCTTAAACATGAAAGTAAACAGGCTGTCATCTTCTGGCATCGGCGAGGCCTTCTGGAAGTCCCCTCCGGAATCCTCCACCACTGCGGTTACTGGCATTAGAGAGGGGCAGGGGGCTGATGTCATGTTTTGCCTCAACGCTGTTTTGTAATTCTCTCACGTTTCTACTCGCAGGGAGCCAGCGCACGAACTAGACGGGAAGGCCCAGTTGTACAACGAGATCCGCAGAAGAAAGAAGGAAAGGAAGGAAAAGAAACGGCAGAGGAAAGGAGATGACTGCAGCCTGCCCGGCCTCACTTGCTTCACACATAACAATGACCACTGGCAGACTGCTCCTTTCTGGACGTGTATGTACATCGACTTCAAGCTCCTTTGACAATGAATTATTTCTAATGCCTGTTAAGATATTTGTTAGTAGTTGAGGTGGAATTGAGTGCAATTACAATGAATCTTGATTCCTGTCTAGTGGGGGGATTCTGCGCGTGCACCAGCTCCAACAACAACACCTACTGGTGCTTGAGAACCATCAACGAGACCCACAACACGCTGTTCTGCGAGTTCTCCACTGGCTTCCTGGAGTACTTTGATCTTAACAGTGACCCCTACCAGGTGGGTGAACAGCTACTTCCAGGCATGCAGCTATGAAGCCTTTCCAGTGGCACCTGCGTTCAAAAAACTGTAATCTCAGAAGTTTAGAAACATGCAATTTACATCCGGCCCTTTGTTGGAGATGGCTAAAAATGCAAATGTAACACCATGACACTAAAACAACATTCTTTGTGTGATTGTTAAACTTCTGTGTGTGTTGTGCCTGTGCAGCTGACCAACGCGGTGTACACGGTGGATCGGGACGTGCTGAACTCTCTCCATGCCCAGCTGATGGAGATGAGGAGCTGTCGGGGTTACAAGCAGTGTAACCCTCGCCCAAAAGGCCAGGACACAGGTGAAGATGCTGACTTTCTGCACGTGTATTGATCCCTAGTTAGCTGTCCAAAAAAATGTGTGGACATGTTATGCCAACAATGACTGAAACAGATTTCACACACAGAATAATTGAATCAGTTAAAGTCTCGACCAGATTATTAAATTCAAATGAGTTAAATGAACACTTGAATTAGCGATATGAATGTATGGAAGTCTAGTCTTCTGCTGTGTTTCCAGTCTGTTTCAGTCTGTGGTGTGTGTATTTGCATATATCTGCATGCTGCATGTGTTGATGACCCTCCTCACTGATGTATGCTGAGATTCCAGGAGGAGGTCAAGGAATCTTCAGTGTGTCTTTTGTGTTCAAAGTTCTCTTCATAAGGACACACACTAAGACCTCTCTTTCTCAGCCCAGGACCTTCAACTTTTCCCCCACTTACTGTACAAATACTGAGTTTTGAATGAGAGTATTTTTCAATAAACTTGGGCCATGTCACAGTTGAACGCCCTGGCCATCCTCCCCGTTGTGACTCACTGAGTGTTAGAGATATTATTTGGAGGGCGCTGTCATCAAGGCAGTTGAGGCTGTCATTTCATTTTGGGCCCGTTCATGCATCACTGCCATAATCAGCCACAATGTAGTTTCTTTTTTTTTTTTTTTTTTTTTTTTTTTGTTTTTCCTTACGACCACCAAACGACCCAAGCGTCCTTACTGAGCAAACATCCCAGCAAACGGAGGTGGTTAATAAGTAATGCAGTGATGACGGAAGCCTGTATTGCAGAGCCGTAAGCGTTCGTGTGTGGCATGAACTGGCTGCGTTGTTTATGTCCTGAGGATAAAAACTCAATGTCTGTAATTACCAGCTGGAGAGTGGGGAGCACTGGAGCGGCCAAGCTGCTCCGAGAAAACTGATTGTGTTTCAGCGCTGGCACGGTGGACTTGTCAAAGCCGTGCCAGCGAACGTCGCATAGCAGCCTAAAATCTCTTACTTTTACTGGCTGCCCTTGCTCGGCTGTGATGCCAGCTCCCTGAACCAATGAAATTGCTTGTTGTGGCTCCACCAAAAGTGATGTTTTTGTTGGAAGAATAGGATTATTAAACTATTACTATCTGGTGAAATGGATCTCACGTTTACTTGCATCTATTTGCGGAGTGACTTAACCATCGTGACCACCTGACTGGATAACCTTGTGTGTTTTGCTTTGAAGGGGAAACCCCCGTTGAACTCTACACCTCACAAAACACTGAACAATCATCATCTCCATCCAGCCCAATCGTATGACCTTTCAAACTTTTCCTCCCAGTTTTTCCTTCTATTCAAATCCAAAATCTCTTTCCTCGTCATTCCTCCCTCCTGATTCTGATCGTCGGATAATTGCATTTCTCCGTAGGGAGTCGCAGCTGTGCATGAAGACCTCTTCAGTGTGAATGACCTATTTATTTCCCTCCCGTATCTCCCTGATTCAGAGCATTAACAATCGATTGCTTTTATTTTTCCGATCAGGAGGTAAAGATGGAGGAAGCTATGAGCCACACAGGTATCCACCAATTTTTGTTTCTCTTCAGTGGCTTCTTCTTTAACACCTGCATGGGCCGAATTGCCTCATTCCCACTAATCCATCCATCCACGGAGCTGCTGCCGCTTAATCTGTGGCTGCATGCAGGGGACACGCTAACAAATCATAGCAGATGATTTTTTTTATTTCTTATCCTCATTAAAGCACATTCATTTGTTGTCACCTCTGTGCAAACAATCTTCCTTGGCTGTTATCTGCTGGGTAAAATCAGTCTGAACATATTACAGATACTCTCTGCTGCATATTTTCTCAGCTTTGCTTGAGAGTGCAACATTTAAAGCAGTTACTCCCCCCCCCCCCCCAAAAAAAAAGCTCAAAATGACGCATTTTTAGCTACTCTTATGATAGCATGGCTAAATAGAAATTGAGAGGTGCTGAATATGTGCCTCTACTTGAGACCCAAGCATCAAGTGCACCTGAATGACGATGCATGATACTGTATCATCCCACCTCATGCATCACATTCTACATGAAAGCTTAAAGGAGTAGTGAGACATTTTGGCCAAAAAGCTTATTTGCTTACTTGCAGAGAGTCAGAAGATCAACACTACTCTCGTATCTGTACGCTAAATATGGAGCTTTAGTCCACAGCTGGTTAGCTTAGCAGATTATCAAACCAAATCAAAATTTACTTTTTCCCCAAAATGTCAGACTGTTCCTTTTAATATCACCCTCCATGTCATTTCAGTCACAAATAAACTGTCATCCCATTAGTGTTGCAGTGTAGCATGCCATTCAGATGCCTCTCATATTCACTCATCATCAGCTCGTGGTAGAGTGGACACTTGAGTTGCTGTGACCTCTCTGTCCTCCCACTGATCTCTGTTTGTGATACCTGCTTACCAGGCAACAGCAGCATCCAAAGAGGAGACCAAGCCTCCCCTTCCTGTGAGTCCCTGAGCCTCTATGTCCAACCATCTTCATCCTCCCGCTGCAGTAGCTACAATGAGTCTGATCGCACAAGGAAAGCCAACCTAAAGTGGCACTGATGCTTCTTTTCCTCAGCTTTTACTTGCAGACATCAAACTGACTCTTTTTTTTCCCTGCAATTTTCTTTTATTTGTGTCTTTTTCTGATATTCTTTTGAATGCCATTATGATTTTGTGTGGGCTTACACCATTCGGCAGCAAGCTCCTTTTCTCCTTGTTTCCTGAGCATCTTCTTTTGTTGATCACCTTTTCTGAGTCCTCTGCTGTTAAATTATTTTATTCCAGGTTGCCTGACTTTGCATTTCAATCCAGTGCAGACCTTTCATTAACTACGCCATTCCATTTTCTTCTTTCATGTGCAGATCATTATGTTAGTCTATTGTTATGTATCATTTAATATTTTTCATTTCAGTCTGTCTCTCTTATGTGAATTTCTAAGGCCGCATGTGTTTGCACTACTCGTGGCTTGAGCTTAGTGTGTGTGTGTGTGTGTGTGTGTGTGTGTGTGTCTGTTGCTTGGGGCCTCGACCCCCTATGCAACTGGCTGCTGTAGAGGGAGCCGGAGGCTGGGCATTACTGCATGGTGTCTGACTCCTTCTTCTTCTTTCTGCAGCAGATTCTCACCGTCTTCTGTTTCTTTCTGTTTGGCAGCACACAGCCAATATGGGACGGACGACAGGGTTAAGCTGCCCAACTTGACAGACGAGGAGGTGAACTGGCAGGGACTGGAGGATCTGTATAGCATGAACGAAAGCCTTTATGAATGTAGGCCTGACTACAGCCCCGGCCCAGACAACTGGGTCAACTTCCAGAAGGATATAGATAATATGTTTGCACTGCGACACGTTTTTAACAAATTCAACCGAACCCATGACGACTCCACCCTGCCAGAGCTGGGCTCCGGGGCCGGGGATGGAGGCTTTGAAGAGGGCAGCGGGGAGCAGTTGGCCTCAGCCGGCGACGTCTGGCCGTTCCCGGCCACAGAGGCTCGCCACACCACCCCCGCCCCCAGCAAAACGCCGTCACCACCACCCACACCCAGGCAACTGGAACCTGTTGTCAACGACCTTCCCGAGAGGCCTGCGATGTCATCACCGTCGGGTCCAAGAAGAGACGGGGTTATCTTCCAGAGCGACATGTGGGCACCGCAGCTGGAGGAGCTAGAAGGGGAGATGTTTAGCGGGAACGGAGTGACTGAGCTGGAGACTCGACACGACAACCTGCTGAGTACTCACAACAGCCTGCAGGCCCAGCTGGAGCCCGGCCTGGGCCTCGGAGAAGAGGACATTTTCCAGGCCCAGGGCTACCTCCCTTTCTCCCCGCAGACGTTGAGGCCCAAGGTGCAGGCCAGCACCACCCGGAGCCCCCCCACCACACAGACTAGTGTCGGGTTGGTAGTGCAGGTGCTGCCTCAGTCCACGCTGCCCCTCACCTTGGACTACGAGGGCAGCGGTTCTCTGCCTCAACCCTCCAATCAGACCCTCTGAGGCTGACGCATGCGCTGATTCAGCATACAGACAGTTATTGGGAGATGAGCTTGCCGAGAGCAACGGCAAGTGATGCCACCTCAGTCAGTCCGAGTTGTATGAGTATTAAAGTTATTGTTTATTTTTTTACAGGTGCCTACTAGTAAACAGTGTTATGTTTTTGTTTTTTCAAATATATATAATTAGAAAAAAGAAAAAGCCTTAATGCAGCTAAACGTAAGTGTCGGGATTAAAAGTGATTAATTCCGCATGGATAACACCATTGATGTTTTTAATGTTTTTATGAAAAACAAGTGCGAGTGGTGAAACCATTTCAACATCAGTCGGCTTTAGAGTCTATGCATCATAAACCTGCCCAGTCACCGGACGCTTCATCAGTACAGTACTCACTCTATATTCATAAAAAGGTTCAATGTACATTTCAACTCTTCCACGTGATGACCCTGTTTGCGGATATGAAGTCTGTGTCCATGTGTAAAATTAGATTTTATGAAAAGATTATTTCCTACCAACTAGTTTTTTTTTTTTTTTAAACTAAGACGAGAACTGGATTGTCACTTGAGAAAAAGTTCCAGAATCAACATGTTTCACAAATGACTTAAAAAAAAAAAAGTATTTTTAATATTGCCGAATGACAACATTCTTTGCATTTGTTTCACCTGTCGTAGAGCATTAATAGTATCAGAAGGTTTAGACAATAGGACAGTTAACAGTAAGTAAAGTACTGACAGCTCGAGCTTATTTAACTGATTAGTTGCACCAGTTCCGAGTTACGTTTGTCACAGAATCTTATTTTCAGTAAAGTTATTACAAATCACAAGCAAATGCTGACGCAATCACCAAGGGTTAGAACATGTTTGGTGACATCTCCATTAAAAACAATGTCTCATGTGCTGTATGATGTGGATCTTCTGATAATCCGACAGTAAAGCGCTGCACATGGCCAATTCATTTTGAATGTAACTGCGTAGTCTCTAAGAACCGGTTATAGGACAGCACACTGTGTTCTATGACGGTAAAATACTCTGCAGATGTTGCATAAAGTAGTCCCATGTTTAACCTGTAGTTCATCTGTACCTTCTGGGTAGAATACGGTT